GCTTTGAGTGGATGGTTACTGAAACAGAGAAATCAGACTTTGACCAATTAGTTTATCTTAATTGGCTTTATTCTCCACTCACTCACAGAATTTCTCCCATAATTCTTTCCCTTCTGCTGGAACACGTAATTTTACTGCAACCCCCAAAACTCAGGTGAGGAATAAAAAGTATCTCAGAAATGAAAATGCTCAGCCACTATTTACTCACACTCGGATTTTTCTTAGTCAATAGAACCTTTTAAAAATGCTTTTTGTTTTACAGTTATAAACTGTTGGCTGCTAAGGCAAACTGCTACAAATGACTGGTTTAGAGTTTCGTGTTAATCCATTATTTTAGACAAGGAAATACTCTGAACCAAAGGTTCAGCCTTGTTAATTATTTTATGTTACAATCAATAAATTAAGCAGCCTTTGTTCATGCTTGGTGTTATGTGAAGGATGCTTGTCTGGTGAAGGAACATGTGCTCCCACCTCAGATTCTGTCACAAAATTTAGACCTGATCCAAAGCATGGCCAAACCTGTGCTAGGAAACAGACTCTGCCCTGCTTGTTTCTAAATCTGCTTCCCTTTTCTCTACGAGGAAATGTCTCAATTTACTATACTGACTACTATATATAGTCTATATTATCATTGTACCCATCTTTCTCTATTCTGTATTATTTATTATCTGTTGCCTGTTTGTATTATATTGTTGAAGAATCTTTAGGTGTTGGATGAATGGAATTATTATTTTGTAATTGTGTATTTTTGATAGATAAGTTTGTTGATACCTGTGTAAGTTTTATTAACACTTTCATTAGGTTTGTCAGGAAATTAGGATGTGGTACAGATATATGTCTTTTTAAATTCCATCTCATAACATCTTGTGCACACAATCTCTTTTCAAATTCTGCTCATGAGTAATCATTTTTATGTGTGTTTAAATCACATTTCAATTTTCTGTGTAGACACAAGTCCTTACTATACAACACATCCCGTTGCTAGTTTTGTAAACATGTTTTCACTGTTGCTTTGAAGAACTGAGACAAAACAACAGCTAATCTGCAGGATGGCAGCAACCAGGACAGCCTGTGCCTGCGAGTACCAAAGGATTCAAACCAGCACTGACACTGGGCAGCACAGAGGGCGAATGGCAAACCTGTCCCAAAGAACAGCACAGAGGGCGAATGGCAAACCTGTCCCAAAGAACTTCTGCAGCACTAAAACTCCTTTGGAAGTGGCACAAGTTCTACTTTTCAGTCTCGATGTGGCTTGAACGTCAAATGGGACAAATGGGAATGAGGGGGAGGACACTGAAATCTCCAAGCTGAATCCAGCAGATGAACCACCACGTTTGTGTGATGCAAGAACAGACCTGCAGGGGCACTGCACCCTGTGCCTGTAACCCTAATCCACCCGAAAGATGCTGGGATGGATTTATCTGGCAGAAATAGCTGCTCCCACATTCTGCCTAGGGCCTGGTGCAGGGGTCGGGTGTGACTCCAGCCCCAGGAGGAGGTGTCAGCAGAGCTGGGGTGCCCAGGCTGCACAGAGCAGGCCTTTGGTCCCTGCCCATCTCTGCCCTTCCCCAGCTGCAGCAGGGCAGGCTCAGAGGAAGGCTGCACTCTCCAGAGGTGTTCTGTCACAGCTCATCTCATCCTTGTTTTGGTGTCGTTCTGCATGGTGTGGATAAGCTGGTCACAGATAAAATGAGACACATTTTTTCACTTCAGCTCATGCCTCTTCTTCCTGTGCTCCATACAATTATTTTGTAGCACATGAGGAAAAATGTTTACGTTCTGTCTAAACCAGTCTCGATAAAATGTTAGAGGTGACAATCTCTTTAAACATTACTGATCATTACTTATAAAACTGTATTTTAAAATTGTGAAAACAAATGCCTTGACCTTGTGAGCTACGGAAAAATTTGAAAAACAAATCTGCTCTGTTTTTTTGGCTAATAGTTGTGATTTGCATAGCTGAACCTTGAATGTAGTCATAAATAGCTACAGAATCTGTCTTGGCATAATGCCTGGCAATGTTAGGGTGCCAGACAAAAAATCGGGTCAACCACTTACCAAGTAAGTCATTCTGTCTCAACAAGGTGATGTCTAACAAAGAAGCTACAAGGCTGAAGACAGCCAACATATTCAGCTGCTGTTCAGAGAGACGAGAACTTTTCATTTATCAGGATAAAATCGTAATCAGCACACCGAGTGAACTCCCTCTTGGAGAAAGGAGAAAAGCCCATCAATTGTTTTTGCTAATTAAGATGAATATTATTCCTGTGAAATGAACCAAAAAGTTCTGTGTAAGTTCAGAACCCCAAAAGAGATCAATAATCTCAAAGAACAATTGCACAGGGTTTTAATTGAGAGGAAAGTGAGAAGTATTTTTTTGTCTTCTTCAGTTTTCAGCTGAGGCTCCTCCGTGGGTGTTAGCGGGTCTTTTATGTTCTCAGTTTATCTAACGTGATTTTCCACATATTAAAACTTGTGGAATTAAAAATTCATGACAAAATATTCATATATTTAATGGAATGCTACCACTAAATGGTGCATATTTAGGAATAATTCAAGGTAACAGATAATTTATTAACATATCTAGAAAAAAGCCCAATTTCAGATTAAAATCTAGGTGTTATGACTGTTCATAGTAATGTGCATTTAATCTTTGTTCATTAAGCAGAGGTAGAGCTAAAAATTAGAAGGAAAGTGTATTTTCTTAAAGTGATATTAATTATACTCAACAATTTATTTTATTCTGTCATATTTATCTTGTTTTTAGGATTAGAAAAAGCCTTGCAGTGTTGAAAGGGAGTAATATGAGGAAGCTCAGTTTCCCATTCCTTAAACAAAAGACACTCAACTTGAAAAATATATTTATATTTGAATTAATATTTACATAATGGAAGTCCTTAATCAACGGAGTAACCCTGTATTCCTGAGCAAGTCAGGGAAAATTGAGGTGCACGTGGTTATACATATAAAAATTAATTGTACCCAAAATAATCTATTACTGTCTGTTTTAGTATCCCTTATGGTCCAAGCTTTTGCCCTCTCTTCTTCTCTTATAGTGTAAATCACACAGTTGGCCTCAAAATAAAAATAATTATGATTTCACTTAACATGCAAATTCAGAGTTATAAATTAGCTCAGATCAGGATACTGGCTGAATACATTCGTTTTCATGAAAAATGAAATGTTGGGTCTCTCTTCTTCCCTTCCCCCAAGCCTTCTTCACAAGATCAGCCTCAGGCTAAAATGGTTCTAAGTAGACTAGAGCTGGTGGTAAACACTTACCTCTGACAATATTATTGCCTAATGAACATTGCAGAGAGGGGTGGATGCAGTGCAAGTGTGCCTGTGGCTGCACCCTACACACAGTCCTTGTGCCAAGTACCTACTGCTAAGAGGGGAATAGACACAAAGGAGACAGGCCCTTTGATGCTTTAATCCCAAACATACTTAACTGTCACCTAGTTAATCTTTTTGATTAAAAATGACTCTTGAGTTCTTCTCCAACGTTTTTCTGTTTGTGGACGAGGGAGGTTAACTGTGGTTAAATGTAGTCCTCGTGCCTGTTCAGACTGTTCTTTTCCCCCCCGCCCCTTACTTGCCCTCCCCACCCCCCCCTTATTTCAACATGACTTTTCCCTCTCTTTAATCATGGATGTGCCCCTGAAGGATCTGCAAGCATGATACCTCTGAAATAACCCCATTCTTTTCCCTCTTGGCAGCAGGTAAAAGCACATTACAGCTGTGCCAGAGCAGAGCTTGCTGCGTTATCAGAGAGCTCCAGGTCAAACCCCAGCCTGCCAACGCAGCCTCACCTGCAGGTTTGACTCTCCTAGGAAAAAAAAGTTTCAAAGGACAACTAACCCTCCGTGCTGATCAGAAATAAAGTCATCATCCTTAGAGTTCATCACAAACCCTCTGTTTTGCTGTTGGTTTTCTTGGGCACTGGCGATTTCGGTACGGCTTTTATCCAGACAGCAAAAAATCAGTCCCACTTATTTTAAATCTGTCACTGGTTTAAGTTCTTATGAGTTAAAGTTTATGAATTAATTTTTTTTTCCAAGAGTCTTGAGTTCCTTTTGGGATTAGATGGAAGGTCTTTCGAGTGTAGCACTAAGAAGCACATTTTGGGTCAGAATACGTGCTCTGATGGGATATTTTTCAAGTAGTATTTCTTTTCACTTTAACAGTAGTTTCACTTCGTGATGGTTTTATGTTGATTTCAGACTACATTTTTATGTAGTGGGAAAGGATATTTTTTGTAGAGTGAATGCCCAAGACCTGTTGGAAAACATTTCTCCTTTAGCAATGTACTCATCAGATTCAGTACAGTTTGCTGAGAAGTGTTATTTTAGGATGACCTTTACACATAGAGTATGATGAATTTTTCTTTTTATTTGATTGTAAAGATGTTATGATCGAGGGGCAAAATAAATATTGCCTTTTTCAGCCGTAAAAAAGAGAATGAAAGATGAAACCACCTTTTTAAAACAACCTGATAGCATGCAGAAGTGATGTCTGCGTTTGGAAACTACATATTTTTACATTCACACATACAGCAAAGCCCAAGTGAAACATAAATAGAGATCAATTTTATACAGTTCAAATAGTAACACACGCTATGGAACTCACCCTTTCTCAGCCTAAAGAAGAGAGATATTTATATTCTTCGCTGGTAGAACAATGTATTTCTGTTTAAGGGAATTCATACGTTATGATAAATTGTTCAGAAAAATAAATAGTTGAGCATTCTGTGGTCAGCAGCATTTCTAGCAAGGATGTTAAATCCTCACATATTTTCTTTTGAATAATTAGCATAATGTTCTTCAAATCTTTTCTAGGTAGCTTACAGGATTTGAATATTCAAATATTTTCAGTTGTATAAGCCATATAATTATGAAATTGTACAGTACAGTTATTTCTCAAGCAATTTGACAATCCTTTCTTACAAGAATTTACCTTCTGTTCTTTGTTATCAGAAACAGAAAAAGCTTTCTGCTTACCATTCTGGAAAAGATGGAATTCATCATTCTGCCATAAAGACCCTAGAAAGCAAGGAAAATGTTATTAGTTATTATATTCTTATCTGCAGGGATTCTAACTGCCAAACAATGCATCAGCATCAAAACAAAAAATGAAAATACATGTTCAAATCATAGATCAATAGTTTAATGCAGTTCTGAATATATATTACATGTACTTAGCAGGTACTGGATTAGAAAAAAGCACCAGCTATTGTTCATATCTGTATTTAGAACTGCATGCCAGCTGGAATTTATCTGCACAGCGTTCACAAAATACAGACATAGGATCTTGGCATCCAATTTGAATGTATTTTTGAAAATAAAACCATGGGCTTGCTGTCACTCTGCTCTGGAGTGGGAGAAAACCTGAACATAAAGGGTTGTGATCAGAAGAGACAATTATCAGTGACACGGCAAAGGCTTTCTTCTTAACTCGTGAGGAAATTTGTATTAGTATTAAAAAAACTCACTTGAACACTTAAAACCCACTTGTTATTCTTAAATGTTTTCACTATTTGAGAAAACTACATCTCTAAGCAAACATGTGAGGGAGAGAAATAAGGGATTCAATTAAAGATCATGTTTAGAAAAGGTTACTATAACCAAGAGATGCAGCCACATGCCACTTAGAAAAAAATGTGGATGCCTAAGTAGGGCTATTACCTTTAAAGAGGAAAATTAAAAACTCAAATGAAAGATCAATTCCAGGTTCTCCCCATGACCACCTATACCACTGGATAAAATGTAAATATTTACAGGTAAGGGATTGTCCAGATAGAGAAGAATTCCCCAGTATAGTAGAGGAGTTATTTCCGTTCAAGGAGTTTACCTTGGGCAAAAAGGGAGTTTCCAGAGTGTGCAGTGCTGCAGAAATTCAGACTTAATCTAGGTTGCAGTACAGCACAAGAAATAGGGAGCCTGGATAAAGCTTGTGTAAATTAGAACAGTCCCTGAGGGCTGCTCTATTTTACGTGAGGATTCACTGGCCTGTCTCAGCTCTGAAACTCAGCATCCACAGCCGTGGCTCAAAGCTGCTTGTGCTCCATCCTTCATGGGCTGCACCTTCTTCATGGTGCCTCATGTCAGATGGAGCACAGAATACTTCTCTTTTTTCGTCTGTAAATTCCAGGAAAACAGGGTCCCTCTCAGCCAAACAAACAATATTTCACGTGAGCTCAAAAGGAACCCCTTGAAGGTCTGTCCCAGTGGAGCCAAGTTCTCACAAAGCACTGCCTTCTGTGCCCTTCTCAGAGATCCTCACTCCTCAGCCCTCTGAGTTTGCAAACATACTGTTGGAGTGAGGTAATCATTAATCAACTGCCTGTTTGGGACTGTTACTAAAAAAATCCATTCATTTCACCAAAGTAATAGTTGCCTTTCCTCCACGCAGCTTTTGAGTCCCCCCTGCCACAAAGCCGTGATTTTTTTTTTCTTTTCCAAAGCTATTTGTAAACCAATAAAATGTCACTACTTCATAAATGAACAAAAGCTCTCATTGACTTCAAAGGGAATTATATTCACCCAAGATTTTGCCTCTAGTTCTTACCTGCTTAATTATTAAGATTCTACACCGTGGGTTACAATGTCGTAAGATATGAACTGAAAATTGTGGGCCTGTCCCCAGCTATCAGTCAGGTATTCAAGCCACCAGCCTGATACACAAGTTGTTCAATCCTTTCACAGGAGTATCCTCCTGAAGGCATTGCAGCAATGTTTGTGCTTAAAGTTAAGTATATGTTTTAATGTTCTACTAAACCATGGTTTAAGTCCTTACGTAGTTTCAGATGAGCAGAGCTGCTGAAAGTTAAATAAGTTTAGTGTGACAGCTAATATATGAACTCTATTTGGACACAAATAATTTTTAATAACAGGTTATTTGCTGGTATACAGAATATGGAATTATTAGTTTAGAAGAAGTGAGTCAAGGCTTCTCCTATAGCATTTGCTTTCATCGACTGAAATAAATAATCAGGGGGGGGTGGGGGGGGATGACCACCCAGATCTCAAGTGTAAAGAAATGCTAACAAGTTTTTGATTTCCTTTTTGAAAAATCAGATTTGTCTGTTCAGGTCACAATTATTTTCAGTGCCTCTGGCACTGACATTACAAACGTCAAAAAAAAAAAAAAAAAAAAAAAAAAAAAAAAAGGCAGCCCTGTAATTCCTGTTCTGGAATTCTCACTCCGGTTTCTGGAGCATCAAACAAAACTGCCCATTTCTAATCACTGGCTCCTGAAGAGGGCAGCACGTTCTAGATATTATTGAACTGTAAGCTTTGAGGTGACAGCCTGGGCTTTACTTTACTGCACACGGAGGAAAGGGGAATAAAACTTTCTGGAGAGTTTGTGTGCATGGTTCCCACGATCCAATAAGTCAGCAAAAGTCCAAGGCTTTTGGCCAAGGTCACAACTGTATTTGATTATTAAAGAGGACATTCAAAATAGCTACCTGAAGCAATGCATTTAGAAAGAGAGCAACAAAATACCAGCAAGGGGTACTTCCATGAGGAGTATGTTTTATCTTTAACACTGTAGATAACTTTTCCTATTGGCAGCGCATTGACTATCAAAACTACTAAAGGGGTTAGATTTAATTATCTCACTTCTTTGCACATTTCATCTCAATTGCTATGGCAACATTCAGTTGCCTCAGCAGCAATGTACACTTTAATCAGATATTTCCTCACTCATTTCTCTGTGCACCACAGCAATGTAGTCAAATTTACAGCCAAGCCCTGATGCATCTGATAACACCTCTTAGGAATTAATGGCTAACTTTCCTCTGCCCCTCACCCATAGCCACAAACATTTCTAGGGAGTTTTGCCTTCTGATGGCAAAGGCTTTAGGAGGTGAAAAGTGTGTGTACTTTTTATCTTCCCCACTTCACTGATTTTATGTTGTTTTTTTGCCACCACTCCCTCTTTAAACATCCTCTACTTACTCGGGAACTCTTCCCATCAAGCAATGGGCAGGTCCTCTGGTCCCTGCAGGAACTCTTTCAGGCCTGAGAACAGGAAACACAATAACTGGGCAGACAATATGGTTCCTCCCGTATTCCACCCTGCCCTGAAAAGCTTTTTGTTGGATTACTCAGCCCTGATTAAATGCTTCATCGGAGTACATCATAGCTCTTTAAACTTCTTGGCCCAGAAACCAGGAACATAGGCTAAAATAAAAGTAATTAGGAGTGATGAGCAGATACTAGGGACTCCTTATTGAAATGCAGACAGTAAAAGGAGTCAGGAAGCTAAAAGTACATGAGGATTACTAAATTCAGCTTATGGGAAGTCTCGATATTTCTGACGTAGAAAATCGTCTGGTTTGAAAACGTGTCACCACCACTGCTAATGGTGAAGAGAGATAAGTTCCTAATGGTGCCTGGAGTCTGTGGTGGAAAACACAGAAATGCATTAGAAGGATTGAATTTGTTTGGACTGTAGTCAAACTTTTGGGAAAGAATGATGGGCACACAGCCTCTTCCTGATCAACCAAAGGTTTTCCTGGGAGAACTGCCCGTTTTCCCTGGCCTGGGCTCTTGGCAGCCTCAACATCTCGCCTAAAGAAGAGGGCACCCAGTGTGGCACCTCTGGCTGCTGCATTTTTCATATGGTTGCCAAAGAAGGGAGGAATTTGACAGAGAGACAGGGTAACATGACAGGAAAATGTTCACATCCATATATGTATATACAGAACTCGTGTGTGCTCTCACTGCAGCACTAACACTCCCTGAAGGTATTACTACATTGCTAGACAAATTAAAATTAAACAAGAGGTAAAAGTGCTCTTGAACTGAAAACTGTTAAAAGATGCCCACAGGCAAGACAAAAGTGAACAGCAGGAGTTTATCCAGCTGTGGGTGACTGGGAGTTCCTGTGGGCCAACTGTCTGTGCTCCCATTCCTACTGCAGGATATGCAGTTTCATAAAATAAATCATAAAGGTGGTGTGAGTTCCAAGCAGAATGACATGAATATTTTGTTTCGGCCTTTAAGATAAAAATCAAGATAATCTCTGTGAAACTCATTAAGCTACAGGACTGAATGGAGAGGGATGGTGGGAAAACAGAAGAGCCCAGAAAAGGAATGAGATGTCACAAATGTGATAGCACGTAGGTCTGCTGACAAGCACATCTAATAACATCTGGAATTAGTGGAGTATGTGAGATCAGCTTTGAAAAAATTTCTAAAAAAAAAAAAAAAATCTCTCTCAACAGAGTATTTCTAAAGCTAAATACAAAAGAGGTATTTTTTTTTTACTGGGGGGATGCAATGAAACCCTGTAAAGAATATCTGAGATGTGAAGGGGCATGGCCAAAGGTCTGCATACTGAGATCAAACCCAGAAAAAAAAATCATAAAAAATAATAAACTATATAAATTTATAAAAAACAGTAGTAGTAGTAGCATGTGTTAAATACATACTAAATCTGGATTTGCAAATCACATTTTATGCAAGTGCAAATGGAGGCACTTAGAGGTGAAGGTGAACAAACCGAACAGATTATTCATTTTTGTGCATAAAATTGTTAGGTTTACTATTTCCCTTCATTCACACCACAAAACAATGTATCTCACAGCAAAAGAATCTGCTGTGTAAATTATTACGTGTTGTGCACTGAGAAAAGAAATGACATGGCTCAGTATCCCAGTCACATAATGAAATAAGGAACTGTACTCCAAGCAGTTAATTCAGTTATTTTCATGACACTGTTATCCCACAGTTATCACCATGACAATGCATCTTTGTTGACTTAGAAGTACTCAAAAATGAAAGAGCATTTGGATGTGGAGACAAGGATATGAAGACATGGTAGGAAGGAAGATTAAAACCGTAATTCTGTCTCATTTTACAATACTGTAATCCCAAGGGAGCCGCTGGAAGTGCTCCCAATTTGCACCAGGACAAAAGCCAGCGTGTCTTCCTCTGATTCTACGTACTTGGAAACTGTATCTCACTACCAGCTACATTTATACTCCAACTGCTATATAATGAAAGGAAATATGTGAAAATGAAAACAAAAGGAG